AGTGGTATCTTCGGCAAAGCCCTGGAGGCTTAAGAGGACGAGGACTCTAAAAACGACTAAGTTTCCAAGGAAAAAAAAGAAGAAAAATAAGTGTAATCTTCGACGAAGCCCTAAGGAGGTTGAGTGGGTGGTCAACCCACAAAAACGACAAAGTTCACAAAGAAAAAAAAGAATAAAAATAACTATAATCTTCGATGAAACCCTGGGAAGGTTTAGAGGGGTAGGACCTTAAAAACGACTAAGTTTTCAAAGGAAAAAAAATAAAAATAAAAAATGTTATCTTCGGCGAAGCCCAAGGGAGGTTGAGTGGGTGGTCAACCCACAAAAACAACTAAGTTCCCAAGGAAAAAATAAAAATAAAAATAAGTGTAATCTTCGGCGAAGTCCGTAGAGGGTTAAGAGGACGAGGAACCTAAAAACTAACAAGTTTCCAAACAAAAAAAAAAGAGGAAAAATAAGTGTAATCTTGGGCGAACCCCTGAGAGGGTTAAGAGGATGAGGACTCTATAAAACACAAAATTTCCAAAGAAAAAAAAGAAGAAAAATAATTGTAATCTTCGGTGAAGCCCTAAGGAGTTTGAGTGGGTGGTCAACCAAAAAAAATGACAAAGTTCGCAAAGAAAAAAAAAAAAAAAAATAAGTGTAATCTTCGGCGAAGCCCGGGGAGGGTTAAGAGGAGGAGGACCATAAAAACGACTAAGTTTCAAAAGAAAAAAAAGAAGAAAAATAAGTGTAATATTCGGCGAAGCCCTGGGGAGGATTGAAAGGACGAGGACCCTAAAAACGACTAAGTTTCCAAAGAAAAAAAAAAGAAAAATAAGTGCAATCTTTGGCGAAGCCCTGGGAGGTTGAGTGGGTGGTCAACCCATAAAAACGACTAAGGTCCTAAGGAAAAAAAAGAACAAAAATAAGTGTAATCTTCAGCGAAGCCCCGAGGAGGGTTAAGAGGACGAGGACCCTAAAAGCGACTACATTCCCAAAGAAAAAAAAGAAGAAAAATAAGTGTAATCTTCGGCAAAGCCCTGAGGAGGGTTAAGAGGACGAGGACTCTAAAAATGACTAAGTTCCCAAAAAAAAAAATTAATAATAATAAGTGTAATCTTTAGCGAAGCCTTGGGAAGTTGAGTGGGTGGTCAACCCACAAAAACAACTAAGTTCCCAAGGAAAAAAAAGAAAAAAAATAAGTGTCATCTTCGGTGATGCCCTGAGAAGGGTTAAGAGGAAGAGGATCCTAAAAACGACTAGGTTCCCAAAGAAAAAAAAGAAGTAAAATAAGTGTAATCTTCGGCGAAGCCCTAGGATGATTAAAAGGACGGGGACCCTAAAAACGACTAAGTTTCCAAAGAAAAAAAAAAAGAAAAATAAGTATAATCTTCGGCGAAGCCCTGGGAGGTTAAGTAGGTGGTCAACTCACAAAAACGACTAAGTTTCCAAGGAAAAAAAAAGAAGAAAAATAAGTGTAATCTTTGGAGAAGCCCTGAGGAGGGTTAAGAGGACGAGGACCCTAAAAACGACTAAGTTCCCAAAGAAAAAAAAGAAGAAAAATAAGTGTAATCTTCGGCGAAGCCCTGGGAGGTAGTAGAGAAGGAAAATCTTCATGCAATGACAAATGCCAAGTGTGAACACTCAAAGCCAATTGAGACGACGAGAACGAAGGGAAGCAAGAGAGAAGAAGAAGAAGAAGAAGAAGAAGTAGAAGAAAAAGAAGAAGAAGTAACAACCCCGCGAGCGCATCAGCTCAATATATTGCAATAAGCTAAAAAAGGCGGAACTCCGCAATCTGGCAAGAGCCACTGCGGCAAAGAAAACCCGACAGCTGTTTCGGCCGGCTTGCAAGAACTGGTCCTTCTCAGGGGTCGCTCTGGGTGTGATATAGACAGACCTACGGGAAGTACTTATATTCCTAGACTAAGGCTAAATTTTTATATGGAACCGAAAAAGCGGGAACTAACCTACTGGCTTAAAAATGGTCCTATAGGTTACCAATTCCTCCAACGAGTGAGGTTGCGGACCCAAGGGGCCCAAACCCCTCCGATCTTATTATTAAAGTGATAAGAACCTGATCAAAATATAAGCCCGAAAAATTTCTGCTGCGCAGTTCAACCTTCAGACTAAGGACAAACCCTGCTTCAGTCCCTGGTAAAGTGCCCATAGAATACGCTCTGTGGAGAAAAGAAGAAATCACAACAAACTTTTGTTCCTTACTAGAAAAAGAATTAAAATCCTGTAGATTTTGAAACTCCAATCCCGCTCCCCTGAGCAGACAATCCTGATTCTTATGGAGGGCTTAACAGTAAACCTTCGCCGGTTGCTTACCAATAAGCACCCTAAAACCCAAATAAGGCCACTCGTTCGACTGACTTGTCCGTTCCAAAACCAAGTGCCTGTCGTAACATTGCGATTCAAATTTATAAAACATTGACTCGACTTTCAACACAAACTTCTCGTCACCAACCCGAATCCTCATAAACAAGGAAACATCATCGATCATTCTACATCCTCTTAGCAACTTAGTATCACTCCCCAAGCTTCGAAGAAAAACATACTCATTATGCATGGACATAAGGCACACAAGAGCCGGACTGGATTATTTGCTGATAGGAATTCCTAACACCTGGCTGACCACTCTGCCCATTGCCATACTGTATGTATTATTCAAATCATAGGTAATAAAGCGAATTAACAATGAAAACCTAATGGATTTACAACCTACTTCGCTGATGGCAATTCGACACAACCGCACCCGTTTCTGACGGGCATAATACAAGAACTTGAAAAAACCCTTCTCTTCAAATAAACTGATTGCCCACTCAACGACAGAAATTATTGTTGGATGCGGAAGCCGACAAAACATCTCCTTCACGTCGTAACTATGCCCAAGTATTTTCTCGCATTGGTCAACACTCTTATTAACTTGCTTAAGGAACGTAGGTAACGTATGCGTACTACTAAGATTAAAATAACTAATCTGCGGAATTTTTCTAATCATTTCATTGACACACGCTGAAGTAATACGGGCGGCTTTCCTCGTTGGCTCCGACCAGGAAGGACAAATTGGACGTCATTTACTAACATCCTTATGTTTAGGTAATACATAGGAACGTTATAGCTTGCCCCTATTTACCCACGGCGATAACTTCGTCAACTTGGTACCCTTGTAATCTCTCGTACAATTAGACAAAACTTTCCCTTCGTCATCGTCAACACTCAACAACCCTTCATTATCGACAAACAACTTGTGCATCCCACCCTCATAGATAACAGGACAGCAAGCGTATGTGTCCCCCATATTGTGATCGAGCGGGGACAAGACCAATCCATAAAACTTTCCTTTCCATTGCAAGACCAGATCTGAAGAAAAATGAGATGTGGAGGAAGTGGAAGTGTCACGAAAGCAATCAGTAAGAGCAGAAGTAGAAATGGTCACTTCCTTATCAAAGAATTGCGACAGTGAAGAGCTAATCTGACTACGGAGACTTAGTTCATTAACAGTATAGTTAGGGGAGACGATATTCTTAGAATTACAAAGAGAAACAGGAACAAAGTCAACCTCACTAAAACGAAAGGAGACATGGTCGTCCTTACGAGGAAAACAATCGTTCAATCCTGCGCAGCCATACACTGCCTCCGTGTGACAAGCATGAATACGATAGTTATACACAAGATCACCTACCGATTTATTCTTTGTCCAAACCAGTCTAAATCGACAGCAAACCAATTCGGAATAAGCAGTGGGAAAATTAATACTACGGATCACTTTTTTACACGCATCACGAATTTTCTCTTTAATCAATCCATCGTCAAACTTAATTCTGACAACTAATCGAGCAGACAGACACAAATTAAACTTTCTTCTACATGTCTGCGAAAGAATGAGCTTCAGAGTAGACCGAGACTTAGAGCATGAGACGGACCGGGTACCATCATAAGCAACAATAAAACGATCTAAATCCCAACTACGTAAAGCAATTCTGGAGGCCGGCTTACTTAGAAAAAGAATTAGGTTGTTCTTAATTGATAGGGAACGGGAACAAAAACGGCAAAGCTTATGAACAGTGATTACAACATCCTTTTTGAATCATTCTCGACAGTTTTTTAGCAGACTGATTGGGAGATTCTTGGAAGAGATAACAGACGAGTCGAAAAGACATTTGACAAGCTTCCAGTTGTCAGAAAGAATGGAGCCAGAGGTAATGTTAATAGAGAAGGGGGTGGGGAGGTGAACATCGAAAGATTTCTGAAGTAACGAAATGAGACTAATGGAGGTAAAATCAAGAGAAGGTAGACGAAGAGTCAGATAAATATTATTAAGGGGTAAGGGAGAATGAGGAGTGATAGGGGGCAGAGAACGATAAGTAGATGGTATATTGGTGATAGGAGTGGGATGAGAAGGTACTGATGGTGAAAAAAAAGACAAATTAAGCAACCCTTTCTGCAACTGAAAATGATGACGTTCTTTCTTACCAGGACGACACCTACGCCTACAGTGCCTACGTTTGGATGAAGAATTCAAGGAAGGATCAAAGGACCGGATAAAGAAACTCTCAGATTTCAGTAAATCCTGTTCAGGGGACGTGAAGATAGGAATTGCAACATAGCAATTCAGACTCACCCGCCTTAACCAACGATACAATTTTCGATTAGTCCGAAACTTTTCTAATCCCAATGTCGAAGCTATATGCTCCTTCCATTTAATACCTACAGAACGAGAAGTGCAACCAATATACGTATGACGATGCCAAGGAAAGAAAAGGACGTACACTACTGGACCAGGACACAGGTGAAAGTCATAATTATTGTTAACAAGAAGAGACAATAGACTACGAAATTTGTTACCCCATCGAATTTCACCAGAAATAATTAGAAGAATAACAACAAGACGAAAAATATAAGTTACCTCTACAGTAGGCAGCGAACCCCAATAATCACGACAAAACAATGCCAAACTCCACAAGTGTGACACGCTCAGGTCGCCTCCTCACTCATTGTTAATCTCTTTCGTAGAAGTAGCATAACCGTGATTCTGATCGTCATCATCAGGAATCTCCTTCGTCTTCAGCCATTCATCATAGTCTCGTCGCGCACGGATCTCGACGATATCAGTCTTTGCCTGATCAACTTGATATACGTAATCTCCTCCTCCACACACATTTTTTCGAGATCAGCCTTCTTCCCCCCGCGGACTTCCTTCATTCTCCTCTCCTTGAATCTCTTGAGCATCTCTTCCTCCATATCATGGGCTACGCCACCAGTAGTGCGACCTTTCGCCTTGGCCTCGCCATCATCCTGCACATCCTTCTCACCGTCAGATTTGATCTCCACAGCATTCAACGTTGTTTTCAAACTTCTCGGAGTCGTCTTCCTGAAAACGGATTTTCGAGCAGACAGTCGATACCTAGAAGCCCCCATCCTGACAATACGCTCCTTCAACATCTCAGCTTCGCGTAGGGCCAACTCCTTCTGCACCAGAGCCTCCTTATACGCCTTATGCAACCCTTCAAGATCCTTCGGGGTGTACATGGCTTCGCTTGTTTTTACCTTGCCACGCGAAGGCTCATCAGGTGGGCTCCTCTCAGTGACCGCCACGCTACCCCGCTTGCCTTTGTTACGAAGGTGTAAAACCTCATTTCGCAAATCCTTGAATTCATTGTGGATGTGACAGTTTTCAGCCTTCAGGCTAATCAATTCAGCGTTCTTTTCATCCAGCGCCTTCCGGAATCCGCTCAACTCAACAACTTGCATCCGTAAAGCAACGAGATCATCGTTCTTCTCCTGTTGCACGCCACCAGCTTTAGCTTTCAAGTCATCGATTTCACGGCGCAATCGTTGCTCTTCCGATCCCTGATCTTGTGCTCTTTGTAAAGCCTCCTTCTCTTGTCGTGGAGATTCGAGGTTGGAAGAACTCGTATTCCCAGTGCACTTTGTCTTCAAGTCGTCAAGCTCCTTCCTCAACTTGCTTAACTCGGACTCTTCATCACCAGGAAGATCAACTTTTCTTCCCAACGCCGATTCACAAACGACCTTTATACTCGACCTGACGATCTGTCATAATTTAACCTCCTGTAACTCCCTCTCTTTCTTAACCTCCGCACGTTTCTCCTCGTCTGCCTACAATCTTTTCTTCTCTTCTTCTAAAGTTGATAACCTTACTGCCTCCTGCTTACGCTGCTCTCTTTCCTCAGCCTGCTCGTGTAGCAAACCATAGATTTTGTCGAACTTCTCCTCCTTGTCACGATCCCTATACCCTCCATTCCAAGGCCTTGAATACCGCTGGCCGTTGTTGTAACCGCCATTGTAATTACCACCGCCATTAAAGTTACCGCCTCCATTGTTCTAACCGTTTCCGTTAGAGTAACCACCTCCGTTGGAATAGTCGTTCGTAGCACCATTTCTCCTATTCTGCGGAACTTGATAAGGAACGATAACATTCGATGTACTCGCTGCTTGCGCCGGTGCTGGAAGAATACCCCCGTTTGAAGATGAAGAAGCGTTTGAAGAACCCGGCATATCGTTGCGAATATTAACAGTCATCTCAGCACCGTTCGACAAATTTTGAAAAGGGCATTCACGTATGAAGTGCCCTGGTAACTGACAGAAGTGACACACTGGTCGTCGATACATCCTGAGAGGACTAACGCGCCCTCAGTAACAAAGCACCACCACGCAAAAAGGGAATAGACTAGAAAGAAATGAGACGAACAAAGAAGAGGAGAGAAGTAAAAAGCTAAACAAGAGTGATGACCGAAAGTGATGACCGAAAGTGTACATGAAAGCTAGGTGAGCATGAACATAGTCACTCTAAGAGGGTGAATCCCCATCGGTTATCTATGTGTTTGTCGCAGTAGAGAAGAAAAATCTCCATGCAATGACAAATGTCAATTGTGAACACTCAAAGCCAATTAAGACGACGAGAACGAAGGGAAGGAAGGGAGAAGAAAAAGAAGAAGAAGAAGAAGAAGAAGAAGAAGAAGAAGAAAAAGATGAAGAAGAAGTAGGAAAAAAAAAAAAAGAAGTAATAACAACCCCCCGAGCGCATCAGCTCAATATATTGCAATAAGCTAAAAAAGGTGGAACTCCGCCATCTGGCAATAGCCACCGTGGCAAAGAAAACCCGACAGCTGTTTCGGTCGGCTTGCCAGAACCGTTCCTCCTCAGGGGTCGCGCTGGGTGTGATATAGACAGACCTAAGGCTAAATTCTTTAGATGGAACCAAAAAAGCGGGAACTAACTTACAGGCCCAAAAATGGTCCTATATTTTACCAATTCCTCCAATGAGTGAGGTTGCGGACCCAAGGGTCCCAGACCCATCCGATCTTATTATAAAAGTGAATAAGAGTCTGATCAAAATATAAGCCCGAAAAATTTCTGCTGCGCAGTTCAACCTTCAGACTAAGGAGAAACCCTGCTTCAATCCCTGGTAAAGTGCCCATAGAATACATGTGGAGGATTAAGAGGACGAGGACCCTAAAAACGACTAAGTTTCCAGAGAAAGAAAAGAAAAAAAATAAGTGTAATCTTCAGCGAAGCCCTGGGAGGTTGAGTGGGTCGTCAAACCACAAAAACGACAAAGTTCCCGAGAAAAAAAAAGAAGAAAAAAAAAGAAGAAAAATAAGTGTAAACTTCAGTGAAGCCCTGGGAGGGTTAAGAGGACGAGGACCCTAAAAACGATAAAGTTCCCAAAGAAAAAAAACGAGAAAAATAAGTATAATCTTCGGCGAAGCCCTGAGAGGGTTAAGAGGACGAGGACCCTAAAAACAAAGAGGGTTAAGAGGAAGAGGACCCTAAAAACGACTAAAGGACCCTAAAAACGACTAAGTTCCCAAAGAAAAAAAAAAAAAAAAAAAAAAAGTGTAANAAGAAAAAAAAAAAAAAAAAAAAAAAGTGTAATCTTCTGCGAAGCCCTAGGGAGGGTTAAGAGGACGAGGACCCTAAAAACGACAAAGTTCCTAAGGAAAAATAAGAAGAAAAATAAGTGTCATCTTCGATGAAGTCCTGGGAAGGGTTAAGAGAACGACGACCCTAAAAACGACTAAGTTCCCCCCAAAAAAACAGAAGAAAAACAAGTGTAACATTCGGCAAAGCCCTTAGGAGGATGAGTGTGTGGTCAACCCATAAAAACGACCAACTTCGCAAGGAAAAAAAAGAAGAAAAACAAGTGTAATCTTCGGCGAAGCCCTAGGGAGGGTTAAGAGGGCGAGGACCTTAAAAACGACTAAGTTCCCAAAGAAAAAAAAGAAGAAAAATAAGTGTAATCTTCAACGAAGCCTTGGGGAGGTTGAGTGGGTGGTCAACCCACAAAAACGACTAAGTTYCCRAAAAAAAAAAAGAAGAAAAATAAGTGTAATCCTCGGCGAAGCCCTCGGACAGTTAAGAGGACGAGGACCCTAAAAACGACTAAGTTCCCAAAGAAAAAAAAAGAGGAAAAATAAGTGTAATCTTCTGCGAAGCCCTGTGGAGGGTCAAGACGACGAGGACTATAAAAATGACTAAGTTTCAAAAGAAAAAAAAGAAGAAAAATAAGTGTAATCTTCGGCGCAGCCCTGGAGGGTTAACAGGACGAGGATCCTAAAAACCACTAAGTTTCCAAAGAAAAAAAAGAAGAAAAATAAGTGTAATCTTCTGGGCCCTAAGGAGGTTGAGTGGGTGGTCAACCAACAAAAGCGACAAAATTCGCAAAAAATAAAATAAAAAAAATAAGTGTAATCTTCGGCGAAGCTCTCGGAGGGTTTACAGGGTAGGACAATAAAAACGACTAAGTTCCCAAAGAAAAAAAAGAACAAAAATAGGTGTTATCTTCGGCGAAGCCCTCACGGGTTAAGAGGACGAGGACCCTAAAAACGACTAAGTTTAGAAAGAAAAAAAAAAAAGGAAAAAAAAGTGTTATCTTCGGCGAAGCCCAAAGGAGGTTGAGTGGGTGGTCAACATACAAAAACAACTAAGTTCCCAACGGAAAAAAAAAAGAAAAAAAAGTATAATCTTCGGCGAAGCCCTGGGAGGGTTAAGAGGATAAGGACCCTAAGAACTAATAAGTTTCCAAAGATAAAAAATAAGAAAAATAAGTGTAATCTTTTGCGAAGCCCCTGAGAGGGTTAAGAGGACGAGGACTCTATAAAAGATAAAATTTTCAAAATAAAAAAAAGAAGAAAAATAAATGTAATCTACGTCGAAGCCCTAAGAAGGTTGAATGGGTGGTCAACCCACAAAAACGACAAACTTCGCAAAGAAAAAAAAAAAGAAAAATAAGTTTAATCTTCGGCGAAGCCATGGGAGGGTTAAGAGGAGGAGGACCCTAAAAACAACTCAGTTCAAACAAAAAAAAATAAAAATAAAAAAAATTGTAACCTTCGGCAAAGCTCCTAGAAGGATTAAAAGGACGAGGACCCTAAAAACGACTAAGTTTCCAAAGGAAAAAAAAAAGAAAAAAAAGTGTAATCTTCGGCAAGCCCTCGGAGGTTGAGTGGGTGGTCAACCCACAAAAACGACTAAGTTCCCAAAAAAAAAAAAAAAAAAAAATAAGTTTAATCTTCAGCGAAGCCC